ACTCGTGATTTCATTAGAAAAGCGCATTGGATAATGGGAAAATCAATGTTTATCACCACAAATGTCGTACATGCGCGGCGCGACGACTACCGCCCTTTGCAACTGAGTTTGAGATTGCAAACTGCCATTGAAACTGCCCGATGTATTATTACTAAAGTTTACATAAAGTTGTCGATGGTGGCGCTGTCATCTAGTATAGTCAATAACTAAATGAAATACACTATAGAGAGCTGTGAAATGTACAGATATCAAGAATATTCAAAAGGGCAAACAAGAAGTTCGAGTGATCGGGAAAAAAATATCGGTGTACGGACTATACTGAATTTTGCTAATAATAAGAATACGAGTTGTGTGCATCGAATTAGTTTTTTTCACACTTCTAGACCATATTCCTGTTTGTTTGTTTTTTTTGGCTATTTGACGCGTATGCGGTGTTTAGGGAAAAACAGGAACATTTACAAACTTTTAGAAAAATGCTCAAGGAATCTACTCAATTTTGTTAGTGTAAAAAGATTTCCGAAAAAACACTGCCATAAATACTTTCCGTTTTCGACATTGTGAAATTCTTTCGTTTTTATGCAGAAAAATACAGTATTTGTACCAAGTTAAATCACATTTATTATAGTTATTGTTCATACATGAGTTGTTGAACACACTACATAGTTTGTAATTTCATTCAGCTCCTTTCAGTCATAAATCAAGACAAATAAAAGACAAAAATATAGAGAAAATAGCAAATCATCTTTTTTTCTGTAATTTTCTTGTGTAATCGATAAAAATGAAAATTATTTATGGGTGCATAGGGTATACATTTCGTTATGATTTATTCTTAATATAAATTTCTGAATTACCTTGTCAAAATCAGTTCTGTTCAGGTTTTTTTCTCAAAAAACGAAGAAATTTCACAATGTCGAAAACGTCACTTTTAAAAAAAAATATTAAGGCAACTTAATGACCAATTCAATTCAATTTCAACATATGGAAACGCAATGACATTATGTCATCACTGCCACGATCTTCCCTACTCAGAGTGAACCACTGTCAGATTTTTTCAAAGCACGCCACCAACGGCAGTACACGAGACTGAGAGAAGGAGTGCGAAGACACTTATTCATTTCATAATTTATGATGACTGACTGTACAGAAAACAGCCCAAATAGTCCAGTGTGCAATGCAGGCTAATTTTAATGTGAAGTGCTTATCACAGAATTTTTATTTTGTGCTGCATTGTACGGCCATTTTCGACTCCCCTAAGATGATCGAAGTTTGAATAACAAAGGTATCTATGTTCGCCTACCTGATCCAGACCGGGCACCATGTTTCCTTGCGAAATGTTGCTTTCAGTGTGGGACAAGCAATACTGCTTATGACAAGAGCTTCCAAAAATGGTTGCGACAATACATCTCTGGCGATTGTGCAAATATGATACCTGAGCATTAAAAACTCGAAGTTGGTAAATTTGTAATACAGTCTACACAGAGACAATTTTGTTTAAATCACGGTAACAATAATATCCTGAACAAAATCAATCTGTCAATGGTCAAACCCTCACTGTAGTTATTACATTGATGATGGATCTGTGTAAACTCACAGCATAGCGTTCACACAAAATTTCAGACCCAGAATAAATGTGGCGAATCAGAGAATAGTGGAAGGGACAACGACTCATTTACGGACGTGTTCTGTGTGTGTGAACAAAACGTACCGGTACGTTCATCATTAAACATAATGTTCTTAGAGATTTCCGATATTTTAAACGACGAAAGACCATGTAACCAAATAGATATGTCTAACTGAACGGTCATCTTGACGTCATGTAAATGATTCGTTGCTAGAGGGCGCGACCTATCCTCGGGGGCGGAGCTACGTCATGAGACGTTCCACGTTGCTAAGACGCTCACCACTGTACCATGTATTGATATGGGCTCTGCGCGAGCTGGTGTGGAACGCCGGTGAAAATAGCTAAATTCGAGAAAACAGCACGGATGTCCGCCTCCGAGAATGATAACGATGGTATATTCGAAACTTAAATGTAACTAATGTACAAGATCATCACCCATATCCGATTCCGAGAATTAAAGTTTGAATAAATAAAAAATTAAAAAAAAAGGGTCTTGAGAACTTATGATTTATTTCTGGTTGTGAAAATACAGATTTGTGTTACTTTGCCAATTTATGCCAATAGCCCTTCTATAACCCCCAATAGCAATTGAGAAAACTATAAAACCTGAGACAAGTATATAAAATAAAATAAAAACTTATACATTCCAATGGCATTTAATAGCCTGATATTTGTATAATAACAACTCATTATGTTAAAAATACAGAAGTCTGTTTTTGTTATTCTAAAAATCACTATTTTAAAATACGTGGCAAAGCACTACACGGTTGCCATGACAACATATCATATGTTAATTGTGTGAAACTTTTCGGTGTAGATACCGTCTTAGATTTGCCACTTAGATTTCCCCACTGAAAATGAAAGAGCGACTAAAATAAATGTTAAAGTATACTTAATACATCTATAATATTTTACTGCGACTTCTACCGTTCCACTTACCGGGGTTCCACCTGAAAACTGAGAAGGGTTTACTATTCCTACATCAGCTACGCAAATAAAATGTAATGCCGCAAAGGTTAGGGTTGGGGTACTGAAATATCAGCAACCGCCACGAGACTCTTTTAAAACTGATAAACTGGAACAGTGACCGGGTATGCCCATATGATTTTATGCTAAATTGGAAACGATACTTGCAGACATTAAAGCGGGGGAGTCGTCACCTGCGCTTGCGTCAAATGGCCATAGCGTGTCAATGTTTACAAACAAGAGTCTACCAATGAGCCTTTGCGTTTTTAGCGTGTTGTTATCGTCGCTTGGAAATCAATTCCCGCGCGTGCGCAGGTGACGACTCTCTCGCTTTAATAATACTTACAATAAAAACAAAAGAGGATACTTTTATAGATTTCAACCAAAAGTGATAAAAAAAATTAAAAAAATGTTCTGCTGCACAACTTGAATAAATTTTCTCTTAACCCGTTTGTTGATTATATCATTATAAAACTGCCATACTTATCAGAAACAGACTTCTTGTTCGTCAAAAGTCATTCCTTGGCATTCTAAAATTACTGTAATTTTTACAATTTTAGGTAAATCGTTGGGGTTTATTTTTACTAATTAGTGAAATCAGAGTCCGGAAAAAATAAATTCAGATGTATGTAAAAATAGATGCGTATATATTATTAAAAGGTCTGATAATTATAAAAACTACCAGGCCGTGTTACTTATTATGATTACCCCAACTGAAAAACGGAAGTATTTGATTTGGTCGCTCGAGGCGATTGCTTTTGAATACTCTTAATTCAAGGCACATGCGCAGTAGCGCATGTGCAATTTACTATTGCATGGCACGATTACTATCCGGTCACGTACTGCAAATATACGTTTAGTTTTACACTATATATAATCGACCAGTTCGGACATGTAACTTCGAATACTTGTACACAAACATAATCAAAATGGTCCACTATAATTATCTAATTGAAAAAAATAAGGAAACATAAATTGTAAAATCCTATCCATAGTCTAAAATTAGTGTTGAATTTTGAAAAAAATTGAAATACAGTTATGGTGGGGAAATTGTGATAGTCAGAAGAAGTGTTTTACTATGAGCACCTGCTTTAATTCGTGTACATTGTGAAGTTGTATAATAACCTGTCATGGGCATACACTAACATATAAGAAGATTTTGTTCCGCAATAATTAGTTATGGTAACCATCAACAACTACTACAACAACACAAACAAACAATCAAAGAAAGCTTAGAAAGAACTCCCGTGTGCTGAGAGTATTGAAGACACATTACAAATTAATTAAAAATTACCTGTACATGAGATATTGATAGAAAAGCTGAAAACTAATTATGTACATCAGGTAACTAATATGAACAGAACAGAACAGAACAAAAAAATTATGAATTATTATGCTAATTAGAGAATTAATATGAACAAATTTTAACCCAAAATTAATCAGGCCTATCTATTGTCCTAGAGCATTTATGTACCAAATTTTATTCAAATGTGATGATCAGTAATTGAGATATTAGTGTTAATTAATTATGTTAATTAGGTGATTAATAAGCATAAATATTTACCAAAAACTAATTGGGTTTCTGCATAGTTCTCTTTAAAAGTTTCATTAAAA